AATTTGCTCCTTTCGCCCGCGCTGATATCGACGCCGAGCGAACTTGAGCTGATGGGAGGGGATCGCCAACTTCTCGTCGATCACGTTGGCCACCTCATCGCTGCCCAAGTACGTGCCCGCCCGAAGCTCCATCTTGTCGCAATAGCCGGCGCCCCTCAGCAGTGCTGGGAGTAGTCTTCGCACACCCGGGGCCGGGCTGCTTTCGCGAACGAATCCTCCCCCGCTAGAATCAGATCTTTCTCCGCTGCCTTGAAGATGTCGTCTGGCGAAGCACTGTTCTCGGTGAAATTCGGATCCGCCGCCTGCGGCGAGCCGCGCAATCTCTCCTAGAACTCTCGTTTGCGGGCTGCCTGCTTGACGGCCCGCAATAGAACATCTCTATCCCAACGGGCGGGTGGGGCCGCCTGTACTTCAGGTGGGCACTTGGCAAACATCGCAGCACAAACAAGTGGCAAATGGTCCCGTGGAGCAGAACCTCGCCGCAGTTGCAGCGCTGCCCCTAATCGTGGAATCGCGCCACGCGCGAAGACCAGTGGGTCCATATCCGCTGGGTAACTCAGCAAATCAAGACACGAGCTCTTTCAGCCCCATACCACCATTCAAATCGCAGAAGTTACATGGAATTGAACGCGCTGGAATATAAACCAACATTTCTCCCAACCAGTTTCTTCGAAGTCGGGGTGTTCTGACAGACGCCCGCTTCATCTGCAGACGAAGATCTCGAAGAGAAGAACGCAAGCAAACCAACGCAAGATCCCGGCGCCCGCGCCCGACGCGAACTGCGATCGCCCTGCCCCGAGCTTCTCGGGGCGAACACCAGCACTCGGCAAAAAGGTCTTCCCTCGGCCCGCCGCCGAGCACGACGGCGCATCCACAGCTAGCATTCGCGCGCGGGCTCGGACCGCAGGGCGCCTCAAGCAAGAATCTGTCTGCTACGCGCTTGCAAAGAATATGGTTGTCAGCGTGGCTCTGGCGGTAAACAACCGATTGGGCCCCTGCCAACCACCCCGCTTCGGAATCGCGCAACTCCGCGATGATCTCTTCCTGGCAACCTACCAAACCACCCCAACCCAACCCGAAAACCCGAATTCGGGTTTGGGGGGGGGCACGTGCTCCACGCGCGATTGATTTTCGGCGCCCCCCATCGCCACCCCCCCCCCCCCCACGGAGGGGGAGGAGGAGGAGGTGGAGGAGGAGGAGGAGGAGGTGGAGGAACGGCAAATTGGGGCCTTAGGGTTGGGTCGGGGCGGTTTGGTGGGCGGCGACGCCCTGCCTCGCCCCCGCGCAACTGCGCGGGTTCCCGCCTATGACGCGCAATCGATGCATCCCCGCTGGACCACGTCAGCGCGCGTCTGGTCGGTCGCGCTCTGGCAGGAGGCGCGCTCGCGCGGGCAGCTGACCCACGGAGAATGTTGCGGCTCGAGCTGACAGGCACTGCCCAATGCGCCTCCGAGGGGGCCCGCGAGGGCAACGAGAGGACCTCCAACAGGGCCCGACGGAGCCACAACCATGGATTTCCCATGGGTGCTTGAATGAGTTTCGCATTCTCGCCTTCTGCGGGGCGCCGCCAGCTCGCGACGGCCCACGAGGAGTCCACGATGGCCCAAGAGGCATGCAAGAGGGCCCCAAGACGGCCCCAAGATGGATCAAGAGTGCCTCCCGTGGGACCCAAGGCGGCCTTAGAAGGCCCTTGGACGGCCCGAGACGGCGCCGAGACGGTCCCACGACGGCCCCAAACACTCACCATACGACCAAGAAGGCACCAAGGCGGCCCAAAAGAAACCCGAACTGGCGCAAGAGGGCTGCAAGACGGCCCACGGGGACACCGACGGACCCCCAACACTGCTCCACAGGAGGCCACGACAGCCCAAAGACGGCCCACACCAATTTCACTCGCATCAGTACCATCATCAACATCATCATCACCGTCATCCGCGTCACCACGACAGCATCACCATCACCAACAGCAGCAACACAAGCATAATAAGCATCAACATAACCAGCATGATCACAATGGTCATAAACACAAGTAGCAGCGTCACCAGCATCATCCGTGTGATCATCATCATCATCAGCCACAGCATTATCATCATCATCATAAGCATCATCAGTATCATCATCATCATCATCATCATCATCATCAGCATCATCATCAACACCCTAGATCGGCATCAGCATCACCAGCAGCATCGCAGCATCAGCAGCAGCAGCAACAACGACCGCATACTCAGCAGCTCCAACACCATCTGCATCAGCATCGACGTCCGCATTACCATTGTCAGTATCAAGACCTTCAACATGCTTCGAAACCTCAGCATGAACATCACCACCACCAACATCATCTTCACCAACATCACCCGTATCATCATCAGCATGATGATCACAATCATCACAATCATAACAATCATCATCCGAATCCCCATCACCAGCAGCATTGCCAGCATCATTCTCATCATCAGCATCAACCTCATAATCGCCAGCATGACCAGCATCACCCTGATAGCATCAGCGTCATCCGTATCAGCATCAGCGTCGTCACCATCATCATCAGCATCATCGTCAGCAGCACCAGCATCAGCATGACCACCAGCGGCAGCATAACCAACATCTGCAACACCATCTGCATCAGCACCCGCGTCCGCATCACCAGTAGCATCATCAAAACCACCAGCATGATTCGCCGCAACATTGTCATCAGCATCGTCACTATCATCAGCAGCAGCAGCATAACCATCAGCATCATCATCACCATCGTGATCATCGTCATCCCCACCATCATTACCAGTACCATGACCAGCGTCATCAGCATCATGATCATAGTCCCCAACACCATCACCACGACCACCACCACAACCGTCATCAGCATCTTCATCATCTGCATAAGCACGACCATCATCCTCATCATCGCTTTTGTTTTCATCCGCATCACCGTCGGCATCATCACCATCAGAATCAGCAGTATATCCATCAACCATCCTCACACCAATCATCGCCATCATTAGCAACATCATCAGCATCATTAAAATTAGCATTACCATCGAGCAACGCATTCGTCACCATCCCCATCAGAATTATCCTTATCACGGCTCTCCCACGCGTGGAGACACGAGGTGCCACACGTAACGGCTCCCCGTGCAAACTCGAACAGTCACCCCCCAGAATGCTGGACTGGCACGGTGGCATGACTTGCCGCAGGCAGATGGGCATACCTCCAAAAAAGGGTTCGTTCAAAGACGACGAGGGCCGGTATCGAGGGCTCGGGATGTACACGTTGATTTGCACGCGGACAGATCAGAACTAACAAAATTACCCTGATTCTTGCTACTGCTTGCCGGGTGCTCAAGTTTCTGACCGCGCTGCCCCAGATTGCGCCGATCGGGAAGTGATCGAAGCGGAAATGCCACGGCGCGCCCGTGCGGCGGTAGCCGAATCTGTCGCCGCGCCAGGGCGAACGCGCAACCCGCGACCCCCCCCTCCCCCCAGCGATGCGAAGCTGAGCAACCAAGCGACGTGACGACGTCACCGATGAGGTCCATTGCTGTCGACTCTTGTCGGTCTCGTCAGCTTGGCATCAGGGGGATGGACGGGGGGGGGCCGCCGCATTATCTTTGGGACTTCCAAGATACGGTGAAAATTATAGTACCGCCTGCGTTTTCTTGAGTTCTCACTTCTAAAAGACTGTTGATTCCCCCCTCTCATGAACCTCGGACTTTTCAGGTGAGGTGCCCCTCCCGAGGCTCGCACCCTGATTTTTACAAGGGAAACCGTGCGCATCAGATTGTGAAGTTGGCCCCCGCTTCACAAATATAAACAAGCAACGGCAACAACAACAGCAACAACAGCAACAACAACAACAACAAACACAGTCATAAGTTTAAGACTCTTCGCTCCCAACTGCTCCCGTGCCATTCAACGTGCAAATCCTAAACACTCGATACCAGCCCTCTCCGTCTTCGATCGTACCCCCCTTTGGAGGACACTTTCATTCCCTGCCACGTGTAGTTGACGCAGCCCCTAACACAGGGGAGCGGAGGGAGGTTAGAAGGGACAAGGGGCAGGGAGATGGATGGAGCACGAGATACTTCAGAGGTGAAGAGCAGGAGAACAAGCGGCAGAACCCGTGACGGCATGGGAGCTTTCAGACAAGATACGCCCAGACCCAGGACAGAAGAACACCCTTCGAAAACAGGAGGCTCTCCGGCCAGAGCACCCCGAACGATAAGAAGGCCACTCGATGAGGGTACCCTGCTCCAGGATGCACAGGAAGATCCGACAACCGCTAAGAACATGAGGGCGCCCTCCCCGACCTCGACCTCGACCCCGGTCCGACCGCACCCGCCCGTGCCTGGAGAGCAGGCCTTTCGGAGGGCTGGCGCGGCTCCCCGGGCGCGCGGCGACCGCTTCGGGCCCGCCCCCCTCCTCCTCCTCCTCCTCCTCCTCCTCCTCCGCCTCCTCCTCCTCCTCCTCGTCCTCCTCCTCCTCGTCCTCCTCCTCCCCTCTTGAGGAGTCTCCCGGCCCCGACCCCGCCCCGCGCGCCGCCGAGCCGCGCGGCCTCCCGGAGGCCCCCCCCCCATCGGCCCCCGACGGCCCGCAAAGGGGGCCGCGGCGGCCTCCTGCTGCGCCCGGCGGCCTGCGCGGGGGCCTCGTCTTTGGGAGCAAGCTCCCAATGCCTCAGCCACACCTGCGCGACGCCAGCTCACAGGCGACGAAGACGGTCACATCAAGGGGATGAAAAATCATCCAGGTCGAAAGTGAAAGTTAAAGTCGGGGCCTTAAAGGCACTAAGGAGGAGCCCTCCAATACACACGAAAACGCAGAGGCCCTAAAAGGCCAGGGCAGGCGGAGGTGGGCCAGCCGTCTGAATCATCCAGGTCCACAGTGGCACTCTGCCTGTCTGGGTGGAGGCCCCTCTTTGAGCCTCCTGAATGAAGTGTTTGATCCCCGAGTGCGGCGCGACCCCCCGCGCGCAAAAGACAAGCCCCGCGCGCGCGTGCGCGCGCCTGCCAGCGCAGCCGGCAGGCCCACCGCTGCGGACAGGAGCGTGCGCCGCCGCGTGGCCTGTCGCGCAGCTGGGCGTGGGGCGCGCCCCGCTTCTCTTTGGGGAAGGGGGGGAGGGGGGGCGGCGGCCTGCTGCCGCCATGGCAGGCTGCTCGCCGCGGTGGGCTGCTCATCGCTGCTCCCGTCCCCGCCTCCTCCGCCTCCTCCGCCTCCGGCTCCTCCTCCTCCTGCTCCTCCGCCTCGTCCTTCGCCTCCCTCTATCCCGCCCCGCCCAGCGCCTGGCCTCTTCTCGCGCCTCGCGTCCCCTCCCCGCACCTCTTGCCTGCTGCTCCTCTCTCCACCATCGACTCGTTGAGGCTATGGGCGATTCCAGTCCGTGCAGGCGACTGGCGCCATTGCTCTGTCCTCCTCCTCCTCCTTCTCCTTCTCTGCCTCATCCTCCATCATGAATCAAAATCATCATGATCATCAGCATCATCATCAGCATCATCATCATCATCATCATCATGAGCAGCAGCAGCAGCATCAACAACAACATCATGTCCGTCATACTCATCATCATAATGAGCATCATCAACATCATCAGCATCATCATCAGCATCATCATCGGCATCATCATCATCAGCATCATCAGCAACATCAACATCATCATCACCAGCACCAACACCAGCAACAGCACCAGCATCAGCACCAACAGCAGCACCTGCACCAGCACCAGCAACAGCACCAGCACCATCAGCATCATCATCACCATCACCATCGCAATCATCATCATCATCATCCATCATCATCATCATCATCATCATCATCATCATCATCATCATCATCATCATCAGCAGCAGCAGCAGCAACAGCATCATTATCATCATCAGCAGCAGAAGCATCATCCTCTTCATCCTCCACCTCCACTGACCATGGTCCTTCTTCGAAGACTCGAGACGTCGCTGCAGTAAAAACCCTGCGGCTCCTCCTCATGCTTCGACGTGGCCTATTGTGGGGCTCTCGGGATGCATCCGAGGACATCTGCAGTCCTCTGAAGACCTTCGGGACCCTCTTCCAGACTCATTGGATCTCCTCTTCCTCCTCCTCCTCCTCCTCCTCTTCCTCCTCCTCCTCCTCCTCCTTCCTCCATCTCTGCCTCCCTTCCTCACTCCCTCCCGTACCCTCCCTCCCTCCTCCATTCTCTCTCACTCCCTCCCTCCCTCCTCCCTCCTCCCTTCTCCATTTGATCTTCCTCCTCCTCTTATCATTTCTCCTCTGCGTCCTCAGGACATGGGGGTGCCCCTAGTATCCTGGTCAGAACGAGCCACAAGAGACGAACTCTGGCGGTCGATTCAGAAGTGAGAGAGCTAGAAAGAGAGAGAGAGAGAAAGAGAGAGCGATACATGGATTGATATGTAGATGGAGAGAGAGAGAGACGGAGACAGATGGGGAGAGAGGGAGGGAGAGAGAAAGAGAGAGAGAAGAGAGAGAGAGAGACAACAAAAAACGAAGGAAAACAAAAAGACGTCGATGATTAGGTTGACGGGTGGAGCCTCGGTGCAGGCGTCGATGCTGAAATGGCGTCGACGCAGGCATCTATATTATTGAGGTGGACGGTGTAGGTGTAGACGTCGGCGCAAGCGCCGGTGCTGGAGCCGACGCTGCAGGCATCGATGCAGGCGTCGATGCTTGAGTCAATGGAATCGGCGTCGACGCAGGCGTCCATGCAGGAGTCGTCGATACTGGCGTCGATGTGAAGGTCGGTGGTACAGGCGTTGATGCTGAGATCGATAGTGTAGGCGTGTGAGAGAAGGACAGAGAGAGAGACGGAGAGAGAGAGAGAGAGACTAACACAAAATATAAGAAATAATATAAGATAGAGAGAGATGAGGAGAGAAAAGGACCTCCCCAAATTTCAGAAGGGGAACCAGCGTCGCCGACGGCGGCAGCGCCAATGGTGACCATCACCACCAACAAGAACACTGCCGAAAACCTCCAAGAATCAGCAAGCACCGTCGAGAAACCCCGAAACCATTCGACGACGACGACGACGACGACGACGACGACGACGACGACGACGACGACGACGCCGACGACGACGACGACGACGACGACGACTACGCCTCAGCGGCCTGCCCGGCGGGCTGTGCGAAGGCGGCTGCCGCCGCGGCCAACGCCAGAGCGCCCACGCCGGCGGCGAGGGCCGCCGTCCGCAGCGGCGCGCGGGTGCGCCGCCGCCTGCGGCGGTCGCCAGCTGAAGCGCGCTAGGCGCCCCCCCCAAAAAAAACGAAGCCAGGACGAGGGCGGGGAAAAATCGGATCTCTGAGATCCGGCGGCTCTGGAGGCTGTCTCGAGTCAGGTCGGGCCTGTCCCCTACAGGGGGATCGATCTTGGGCAAAACATCTAAGAACAGTCGAGGAGTGCCCCAAAAATGCTCAAATATAGTCCCCTGTGTACCATTCTTGAAGATTCCCCCTGGAGAGCGACAGACCCGACTTACGTCTCGGGCGTTGCGGAACGCTCTGAGGGCGTTCCGGAGCGCTCTGGAACGGATGGATCAGGGCTCGAATTAAACAGTGTGTTCCGTTTCCGTGTTGTCTTCGTCATCCCTAGTTCTGTCCTCGTTCCACACTGGCTGCAAAACGAAGTCGACACGAAAACGGTCCACGATACTGCCAACACACCGTTTAGCTCGAGCTCCGGGGTGGATCCTCGCCCCGGGTCCCGTCCGCCTCCCCCGCCCCTCAGACCTCCCCGACCCTCGCCGCGTCGTGACAACTAACGCGCGACGGCTAGGTCGCGTATCCCCCTGCAGGGGGATTTTGGACGAAGACTGCCCCCCCAAAAAAATCATCAAAAAATACGACGATTCTGAATCATCAAAAAATGCTCCCGCAATGCCCCCCAAAAAAATCCGAAAAGTCCCCGGACTATGTTTTAAACTGCTTTTGGACATCCCTCCTGAAGAGGGACAGGCCCGACTTCACGCGACGGCCTTCGGGGGCCAGCCTGCTGGGGCCTGGCACCGCCCGACGCTGCGCAGGAGGAGCTGGACTTATGTCGGGCGTGTCCCCCTACAGGGGGATTTCGACGAAAACTAAAAAACATACCTTGACTATTGTTGGTGTATGTTTTGACTATGTTTGGTGTATGCTTTGACTATTGTTTGACGATTCTTAGACTATTGTTTGACTCGACAGACTACTTTTGTATTATGTTTCTACTATTTCGGGGTCATGTTTTATCTTTCGTCGAAAATCCCCCTGTAGGGGGACAGGCCCGACTTAAAGCTGGACCTCGGGGAGGGCTCGAGACTTCCGGGGGCCTACGCCGTCGGCGGTCAGGCCCACGGCGACTTCTCACGGCAGACCACACGACGGCCCCGCCCTTCTCCTGACCTCCTCCTCCCACCTCCTCCTCCCGCCTCCCTTCTCCTCCCCCCCCCTGCGCCCTCCTCCCCGCCCCCTCTCCCCATGTCCCTTCTCCTTCTCCCTTCTCCTCAAATCCTCCCCCCTCCCTCTCCCTCCCCTCTCCGCCACCTGGCCCCCCCTCCCTTCTCCTCCTCTGGCCTTCGAAGGGCCTCCGGGACGGCCAGACATTGCCGGGGAGATGTCCGGGGGAAACATTGCCTGGGGAACTCCCGGCGTCTCGAGACAAAGACGGCGGCCGTTTTCTGGGCCTGCGTCTCCAAAAGGCCCAAACTCTCGGACCAGAAAGAAACAGCCGCGACGAGCAGGCGGCCCAGGAATTGATGTCGAGAACCCCGCTGCCCACGTCATCCCCCCCAGCAGAAGAACGGCGCCTCAAGGGCGGGAAAGATTTGCCCCGACTGAGACCACCGGGACATCATATTTCACACAATCACCAGCAACATTATCAAAACATAAAACACAACAACGGCAATAACGCATACATTATCGGGGCCAGTCATCTCCATCAGCGCCGACCTCATCATATTAGTTGTCGTAGCCATCTTCGTCCCTCCTATTGCTGTCACCCCCGCCCCCACGAGAGCCCCCAGACTGCTCCAGAAGACCGTCTTGGAACTCTCTTGGGTGCGGAAATGATCTGTGAGAAATTGGAGGCCTTCTTCTGGGGATGTGGAGGCCGTCTGTCTTGAGGGGGAGGGCTCCTAGCGCCTCCGCCTTGAGCCCCTTTCGGGGCATCTTGGGTACCTCTTGGACCGTCTTGGGGGCCTCTTCGGCTGTCCTGAGGCGGTCTTGCACCGTCTTGGCGATCTCCTGGGGTCGTCTTCGGCCATCTTAAGGCGGTCCTGGAAGCCTCTTGAGCCGTCTTACCCGGTCGGGAGACGGAATAAAAGAGAACGCTGAGATCCCTCTCAAACGAAAAAGAAAAGCAGTGAATCTTGTCTCTTGGAGCTCCCTGGGGGGTCCTCTTGGGCCCTCCCTGGAACGTTGAGGGGGGCTTGTTGAAATGTCGAGCCCTCCACCCCGAAAAATGACCACCCGGACCATCAGCAAGCCCCCAGGAGACCTTAGGCGTCTTCAAGGGGCCCCCGAGTAGGATCCCAAGAGGTCCCCAGGAGGCCCCCAGGGAGCCCCCAAGAGGCCGCGAGAGGCCCGCAAAAGCTCTGCCGCATGCATTAACTTGGCGGCGCGCCGAGGGGGTAGAGGGAGGGGGAAGGCTTCTTAGAAGCACCCCTGCTTCTTAGCGGGCGCGGGGCTTCTCTGTAGACGTAAGGCCTGCGCCTTCTAAGAAGCAACCTCCTTCTAAGAAGCCTTTCCCCCCCCCCCTACCCCCTAATGCGCGCCGCCAAATCACGACCCAGGCACGGTGGCGGGAAGGGCCGAAGGCCATCAGACATGTACACAGTCACCACTACCATCACACCACCACCGCCACTCCCCGTGGCCATAATTATGCCATGTGGGATCATGCCCGGCGCGGGCCCACCCGTGGAAGCAGAAGCCTCCGGGATGGGATCCGAATAGACGGGTCGGAGGATCACGCCGCATCGCCGATGCTTCGGCAACGTCGGCGATGCATCGGCGGCGCAGGCGCCGGGGACTGCGCTCCCGGCCGACCGGGCGAGGACGCCCCTGGAGCTGGAGCTGGCCGAGCCCAGGGAGCTGAAGCGGGCGCCGCTTTCGTAGGAGAATGGGTTCCCGCACGGGGGGGGGCGGGCGCCGCTTTCGTAGAAGAATGGGTTCCCACACGGGGGGGGGCCTCGCATCTAGGGTCCGACTGCGTGGGGTCGGAGGATCGCGCCGCATCGCCGATGCATCGCCGTTGCTTCGGCGATGCATATGCGACGTTGTTGTTTTTATGTTTATTTGTTTCTGCGACGTCGGCGATGCATCGGCGAAGTCGGCGTGGGGAAAATCGGGTCCCACATCGACCAGCATCTCCGATGCACTGGCGATGCCTCGCGGTCCTCCGACCCCATCGACTCGCACCCCATTTGGGAGGCCTGGACACACGGACACACTTTTGGTTTGCGGCGAGTAGGGTCCAACAAGGGGTCAAACAAACGGAGGGACGCATCCGTTGCGAATTGAAGCACAGGTGCGCAGGCGGGCGAAAATCGAGGAGGAAGCCCGAGGGCTGCCAGAGAACCCTCAGATCGTGTAGACCTTCAGGATGTGCCTGGGAAAAGGATCACACTTCCGATACGACCACTGCAAACAAACTTACGTACCTGCCACACGGGCACCAACTGGGCCAGTGATTCGAGCTACGTCCAGCCATGGCCACGAGGGGGCCAGGGAGGGCCCCCTCCAAGAAGACCGCCGACAGCCTCGGACACGGTGCAAGCCCTGCTCTGCGTTTCTGGCTCCGCCGCTGCATGGGACCACGCCCGGCCGGCGGGCCACCTCGCGACGCGGCTTCGCGACGCACGCCGAGGCCGAGGGACCGGGGACCGTGCTGACCGATAGATGGAGTGACGGCGCCGTCGCGGGCTTGGAGGGGAAAGTAAGCCCGAGGGCTCCTGCCCTCCCATCATGCTCATCAACCTCGTGGCAGGGGAGAGAGGAGCAAGACGACGGCGTCGACAATAACGACGACGACAACCACCTCGTCTGACATCCTTCGACCACTGCCCACAAACGCAGAAGACCACCGAGAATCCCAACAACCACTCGACGACGACGACGTCGACGGCGGCGGCATCGACGGCGACGGCGACGGTGACGGCGACTGGCGAGTGGCAACGGCGACGCCGACTGGCGACCGGCGACGCCGACGCCGACGACGGAGATGTCGGCGACGCCAGCAGGCGCCTCGCAGGAGGCCCCATCGCCGGGCCCTCTCGTGCGCAGAGCGAAGGGGGCCGGGAGGCAGATCTCCCGAGGGGCCGTGGCGGGGAGCGGGGGGCGGGGGGCGAGCGCCAGAAAACGCTGCGTTTGGAACAAAACAACAATACATATTCCATTTCCTATAGTTTCAGAAGCCCGGGCGGGGGGACCCCCCCCCAAAAAAAAAACCGGACTCCCGGGATCTGGGGCTTTGGGACCCTCCAGACGGGCCTCGAAGCGGCCCCCCGGGCCTCGTAAGGCGATTCGCCAAGCCTTCCCAACACCCGAAGGCGGCCCCAGGCGGGTTCCAGGCGTTCCGGCGCGCTCCCGAAACGACTCCAGAGAGCCCCAATACGGTCCACGACGACGCCCACGAAGCCGTCATACACCCAAAGATCGCTCCGAAACGTCCCAAGAGGCCTCCAAGAGCACTCCCAAGAAGGACCCAAGAGGCAAAAATCTGTGATTCTCCATTGGTTCTTGGTGAATTTTAGGGTTATCCTCTTTTCGGCTTCCCGACGCTCCAAGATGGCGTTCTTCTGGGCGTCCGAAGCCGTCTGGAAGGCTCCAAAATCGCCCCACAACTAACTATCCGAAAGGACTTCCAGGCAGTCCAAGACAGCCCCAAAACGGCACAACAGGGGTCCAAGATGGCCCTAAGAGAGCCCCATGGCGGCCCAAGATGGCCCGAACACACGCTCTGAAGAATTCCAAATCGTGACCCAGTTATTCAGGGAGACCGCGATTGGAGGCAGGGTGGCCCGAGGAAGCCCCCAGAGGACCCCAGAACACGCCCAGGAGGCCTCCAAAAGGCCTTGAGAAAGCCTGAGAACTTTTGTGAGGACCCCAGAGGCTCTCCAAGGAGGAGCCTCCGCAAAAAAGAACTGAGGAGGATGGGGAGAATGAGCAGTGTATGGCGTGAATGAAGAAACATAAGCATGTAGGAAGGATAACGAATAACATTATGATAACGGCGATGCCGGAAAAGGCAATAAGGAATTATCGCTACATTGCTGGCTTGCCCTTCCTGCCATCCCGCCTGCATGCCGAACTGTAAGGACCAAGGTGCATGGCGCGAAGCGCCAATGCAGTCTTGTATATATGTTCCCTACCTAGGCTCTGCCTAGAAGGGTTCTTACTTTATATGCTTAAAAGGGCGGGCAATGTTGCCCGCCCCGGGCGGTTCCCCCAGCATCCGCCCCGCGGTTCCCCCAGTGACGTTCCCTTAGCTTAGCTTAGCGTTACATATCTCATCTTAGCTTAGCTTAGTTCATCTTAGCGTTGCTTAGCTTCATATTAGCTCAAGATTATTCCCTATCTAGGCTCTGCCTAGAAAGGTTCTTACCGTGTTGGCTTAAAGGGCCGGGCAGTGTTCCACTCCCCGGGCGGTTCCCCCAGGATCCGCCCCGCGGTTCACCCAGTGACGTTCCCTTAGCTTAGCGTTGCTTATCTCATCTTAGCTTAGATTATTTCATATTAGCTTAGCTTAGCTTCATATTAGCTCAGGATTATAGTAGCTTAGCTTACCTTCATTTTAGCTTCGCCGATCTTTAGCATAGCAGAGCACAGCATAGCATAGCAGAGCGTAGCACAGCACAGCGCAGCACAGCAGATCATAGCATAGCCCAGCATAGCATAGCATAGCGCAGCATAGTATAGCATAGCATAGCATAGCATAGCGCAGCATAGCACAGTGCAGCATGACATAGCATAGCTTAGCATAGCATAGCATAGTCTAGCAGAGCATAGCATAGCGCATCATAGCATAGCATAGCATAGCATAGCATAACATAGCATAGCGCAGCATAGCATGACATAACATAGCATAGCATAGCAACTAATGCTGCTTTCCTAGCGGCTCCAACTTCTAGGTAGGGTCGCACTGGGGTAATATATAATATACACATCTCTATATATGATTATCGCCATCGCTCGGACGTCCCTTCCCCGTGTTACTGTTTCCAATCCAGTGCGTGAATCTGTTCGTGTGGTGATCCAGCGTGCTCCTCGCTGGCCCTCGCCGACCAAAACGCACACGCCCGAGCGATGCCGAGACACACTCACACACGCGGGCGGCGCCAGAGACGCCGCCAGGGGGTGCGGAGAGGGGGGGGCTGTACGCCGGCCGCAGAGACTCTGCGCAGGACCTCCGGAGGCGTGCCGGATGCCGGTGTGCTGTTCTCCTGATGGGCCTGTTTTCCACCACCAGAAGTTGGAGGGGAGGGGGGTCCTCCTCCTCCTCCTCCTCCTCCTCCTCCTCCTCCTCCTCCTCCTCCTCCTCCTTCCCCCCTCCTCCTCCTCCTCCTCCTCCTCCTCCTCCTCCTCCTCCTCCTCCTCCTCCTCCTCCTCCTCCTCCTTCCCCCCTCCCACTTATGGCAGTGGTGGTGCAGAACAGGCCCATCCTCTCCTGCGTCGGGAGGGCCCCCGTTCGGAGCACGGCCAGGGCGCAGGGGCGCCGAAGCTCGCACGGGGCTGTCCCTCTGCAGTACCGGGTGGGGAAGCCAACGCAGTGGAACGGGATGGGAGGGGGGCGGGAGGGGGGAGAGGGAGAAGGGGGAAGATAGGAGGAGAGGGGGAAGGGCGAGGAAAAAGAGGGAGGGAGCGGGAGGGAGGGGAAGGGGGAGGATGAACAAGGAGGAGGCAGGGGGAGCGAAATTGGCCGGACGGAGGACGGGGGGGAAGGTAGCCGAGGAGGGAGGATATAGGAGAGTAGAAAGAGGGAGAAGGTTGAGGGAGGAGGGGAAGAACGGTGAGGTTCTTGCCGCAGCGAGTGGTCCTTGCACATGTTCGCGCAAGGAGGGAGGGAGGAGAGGGGGCAGGGCATGCTGGGCACGCTGGCGCCACGTCTGGCAGCCTGCTCCCCCCGCCCATCCCTTCCGATGGAGCACAATCCCGCTCCATTCGCCAGGTCGGGTGGCGAAGTGGGACTTGGTCTCTCATGACAGGAGCGACGAAAAACGCAGGATCTCACGCACGATTACATGCCGACCGTGCGCGGCGGCTAACAAGGACCGCCAGCGCGGCAAAGCGCTGACGCGCGACCTCGCGCGGGCAACTTACCCGCAAACGAACCCGCTTTTTTCCGTCGCCCACACGGTATTTACAATAACGGGCCCGTCGACTGCGGACAGACAGAAACCAGGCCAGGCGCGCCTGGGTAGCGCGCAGGGAGATCCTTCTTCTGACAGGAAGAACGACGAGCAGTCGAACCGCTCCTGTCGCGAAACTGGCACGAGGTCGGAGGAAGAGCAGCAGCACCAGCAGGAAGCGCAAAATTTGCTGGCTTGGGGGGCGCAGGCGTGCAGAGTGATCCACCGAGAGCCGAACACGTTGTGCACAACCACCACCCCTGGCTCTCTTCTGCGCTCCCCCCCCCATGTGGTGTGCCCCGCCCCCCTCCCCCTCAAGAACAGAACCAGAGCGCACCAGAGACTAGCTAGGGGGCCTCATGAGAATCCTACCCCTGCCCCCCAGGATTTCTGAGGGGGAGGGCGGGGTTCATTTCGTTCGGGAGCTCTCGAGCGAAGTGAACCCCAAACCTCCCCGTCAGAAGTCGTGGGGGGCAGGGGTGGGGTTCGCACGTGGCCCCCGCTGGCGGCCCCACCGGGGGAGCTGTGCTCCATACCGACCCCCTCTGGGGGGCCAGAGGGGCAAGGACCACGGCCCTCCCAGTTGGGACTCCTCTGAAGCGGGCCGTCTGCCTCGACCCCCCTCAGGGGGCCCTGGACGTGCCCCCATGCCGGGGATCCCCCCCCCCCTCCCTGTCACCACGAGAGCCGACGACAGACCGGGACCATGTCGGGGAGGAGAACACATCGAGCTGAAATCAGCGATACATCGCCGGCAGATCAGCGATGGGCCCCCAACAACGAGTCCCCATGTTCCTGGGCAGGGTGGAGATACCGGGCCCCCGTCGGCGATGGATGGGCGATCGGGGTCGATGCATCCCCCCCTGACCCTGTACCACCGTACGGCAGGTTCCTGTCGTGCCGACTTCGGAGCTGGTCTCGGACACCGCGGGGACCAATCAACCTTGAACGATCGGCCATTTCCGAAACGTCAGATCTTTCAACATCGACCCATTCTGGACCGCCGCCGGCGGTCAACGTTGAACGCTGTCGGCGGGGTCGCCGCCTGTCGACACGACGCGAACCTACCGTACCGTTGGCCCTTGAATTAGCGGGCGAAGAACGATATGAAATAAACTGCTCTGCCGCATGGGACGTCTTCCCCCAGGGCGGCTGCAAGCTGTATACCACTACGGTGCCACGTAGGGGTATAAACTCACCAACCGCCCTGGGGGCAGCCGTCCCCGACGGCGGAAAAATTCAATAATGACCGTTTTTTCGTCCCCGAATAACGGTCGTCACCCGAAGGGCGGCGGTTCGGGCGGGAGGGTAACGGTAACGACGGCCGCGGCGTGCACCCGCCAAGGTGCGCCCGCGCCACCAGCGCTTCAATCGCTTGTGTGCGCCACAACATGTAGGGGGGGTCGAGGCCACCCCGCTCAGTACGATCGCTAGCGTTCCCCCGGGGGGAGGGGACGGCCTGGGGGGGAGGGGGCTTGGCCTGGGTAACGAGCGTTGCCCGTGGGAAGGAAACAAAAATGCTCACTTCTGTTATACCGCTCCTCGCCCCGTAGCTGACTGAGACCAGGGGGTTGAGCAGGGACCGACCGTCCTGGCATTCTTATAGGCCTACCACGAGATCTGCTTAGATCCCGAACGTGGTCTGATAACAAATAAAGGTTCTTAGAACATAAGCCCGACGTGTGAAAACAAATCAGTCCCAGCCAGAAATGCTCTAAGAACATGTCGTGCAGACCACCAACCAGGCTCTCGGAACATTCTTCGGTGGGCCTCTAGGCTTAAGTCGGGCCTGTCCCCTACAGGGGGATTTAGGACGAAAAATGAAAAATAGTCGAAACATGCACCAAACATGTCAGAACAAATATCCCCAAAAATCCTCCCCAGACTATTTCTTGACTATTTCTGAATCTTCCTCGTGTAGAGGGACCGGCTCGACTTGGTAAGTCTGGGCAAGCCAAAACGCTTCGCCAACGCCTGCTGGGGGATACCACGGCCCCGCTGGAACACCCGGCCACACCCCCGGCCGCCGGCGGGGGGCGCGGGGCGGCGAGGCGGC